TGGACCCTGAACACACGTGTAAACCCGACACCAGTACTAAACCGTACATGTCTGATGACCATTCTTCCGTGCCAATTACTGGGTGGAATTGGCTCTTTTTGGGCAATTCATTTATATTAAATCATGAAGATGAAATTGCATGTTTCCCACCTTCGAGTAAACTATAATCGGATAGGCTACTTTGCTTTACCACGCCACTGTATTTAGATCTAAAAGTTATTCGACACTTCGACCTTTACTTTTCACCTAGTTTATGCACTGTGATTGTTGTAAGGCTTAACTTAGCCTTCTCTGTGTTTCATACTGATGTGGTCTCGTGTTCAAATGATTACTTTTCTCGTGAAATTCCTTGCTACAAAAGCCTTTTAGAAATTGTTCAAACCAACGTAAAATTCGGTTAGATATTGCCTCTGTCAAGTCAGAGACCGCATCCGAATCACTTAGCTGAGGCTTGAAATTACGCACGACTCTATGGGAACCGGATGCAGCCACTACCATAAACTCGTGCGTAATTTCCAGCCTTGGCCATACAGACAGAAGCTCCTCATGTCTCGCACTTCTTGTGGACGTGCAAACAGTAAATCACACACAAAAAAAAGAAAAGTAGGTCGAATCACGTGGTGAGGGTCACGGCAGTTTTTTCCATGAAAACATCTTTAGTTTTATTTCCTTTACTCCACTGCTGACCAAATTGAAACATAGAATCCGGAATGAACCTATATGGTGAAATCTTTCACCGGACAGTGATTTGGATTCGAAAAGTCTGCTTGGGGTGTCACATTCCACACCCGGATGTGCTTGCACGAATTAGAGATGCATGTATCCCGTTTAATTACACGTATGAGGAGATTGTCACCAGTATGCATCACCACCAAGCCTTATTAATCACTTCCTTCAAAGAAACTTGAGGAATTACAACTATCCTCCCTAGTTTGTTGGTTGGACTGTTGGTTTGTTTTGATTAGCTGGTATCGTACACAATATAGAGACAGTTGAGGTTAACATTTTTATTTTAGAGAGCATATCGTTCTTTGACACACAGTTGGCTCCACTCATTTTGTGAATTTGTAATGCGTTTGTGTTAGTGCCCTTAAACAGCAAGTTCAATCTGAAATAAACTTAGGCTATGTCCGTATTATCGGACACCTGTTAAAGTTAACACCCCCGGTGTTAGAGGACTACACTTTTCACTGGTGTTAAAAATTTGGGTGTTATTTGGTGTTACTTTTAATACCCTCCAGTGCACTATAACACTTAAAGGTGTTCAAAGTAACACCAGAGGTGTTAAAGTAACACCCTATATGGTGTAGTCATCTAATAACACTAAAAAGGTTAATTTTAGCACCACAGTTTTTACAGTGTTGACTGTGGCTTAAACCCGAAATTGATTCAGCCCCTACCACAGAATCGTGTGTATACTTCTAGCCACAGCCAAGTAATTCGGACACAGTCTTAGTCTTGATCAGTTAACATTCTCTCATGACCTGACACCAGGGAAACATATTACATTATATCACGCAGTTAATGAATTCAGACAAATTTTACGGCAGTAACAATAGGGTTATAGAGGACATGACAGGCAAAGGCATTTCGGGAAGCGTACCATATCCGTGGAGGCGCGAGCATTTTCGAATCCAGGTATTTCTATTGGCAATTTCATGCACGCAAGAACGGTGAGAGACTTCGAAGGAGCGCGCGTTTCCCGGCGCTTGCATCACTGTAAATTGAAAGCTGACAGTCAAAAATCACATGACTGAAAATCTTCTAAATGGAATTTATTCCTGGTATATTATATTCTCAATAAAACTGACATAACTGCGTTGTTTGAGTAAACAAACAAACACAATCTGACACTTCATCTAATTTGAGTAAAAAGCATGGAAATTCTTATGTTCTCAACTCGTCCAACTTTGGGATTACAAGTACGTCACTGGGATTTCGGATTGATGTATTCCTTGCCAATTACAACAAATTCTTATTTGCTGAAAATCTGTCTTTTACCATGATCCTTTGGAAGTGAGTATTTATTTTAATTTGCTGTATATTCTAACATCGCAAAATATACGTTCAATTTGATTAGAATATACAAGGTTACACAAATCAGGACACCACAAAAATATCATGTTACTCATTTATAGTGTGTTTGTTATCAAACTAAAAATGGAATTCAGGTTTCTATGATTGAAACGCAGCACTGGAAGGAAGGTTCCCTCAGCACCGGTATTTATAGGTTTCCCACAGTCGGTAGTTTCCGATGACAACATGAGTGGTTTATTTTAATCATGAATATTCAGACATTTAACCAATCAACTAAACACTTCTAACAATGTGACTTCTGTTAACACACAAATGAGTTCTAATTCTTGACCAGGCGCACCTTAAATAACACACAGGCGAAGTCGCCTGCACATTTTACAAAATAGATGGAGTTCAAATTAAGATGAATGCAGGATTGCAGAGGTGCATTCGATTTCGCGTATACATGAATGTCAATATACTAAACCAGTGCAAACACAGGAAAACTGAACGCTGACTTTATATTACTGAAGGCACTCTCCTTGAAATAGAATTTTTTATTTGTTAAATTGAAACAGGGATTTGAATGTTCGTTCTATTTTGCTCGAGAACGAATGCTGCTCTTACTAATTCATTTACACATTTCCCGAAATTGGCCGGGAAAACCTATATTTAGTTTGCATGATTATTCTTCTAGATCCTCGTAGTTCACCTGAAATGCCATGTTGTCAAGATTTGCAGAATTCAAGTCTCATAAAAACCATCCATTATGTTTCGGACCCTATTAATTTTGCTTGATCCTATTAATTTTGCTTGATTCAATTTTGCAATTTGATAAGTAAAATGACGATGCATGCATTAACACGAGGTACCCGTACCCATTCTCCCCTCTGTACAGGAACATTCATCCTATTTATTTCAACCTGCCTTATTTATTGAGCAACAATCCAACGTTTGGGAGAGTAGTCCCACATAGGAAGGCTCCTCATCTGCGAGACATCTGATAAAAACTCCATAGCAAGCCGTCGGAGATGGAACAGTCACCGGGTTCTGCAAAGATGGAACAGCCGTTGGTTTCAGCAAAGACTCCCATAGCAGTCGTTGGCATTGGTGAGTGTAGTTGATAAAATTCAACGTCGTTTCAAAAACTAGCAGTGAAAACCTTATAGACTGCAAAATTCGTCTCATTAATCAGAGTAGTTTAAGAGACAACTGATTTCACAAATTTCTGTTAAGCTTGTGGAAACGACTATCTAAAAAAATCTTGACTTGAAACGTTTTCTCTTTGTTGTAGTTTCCCCAGCCAAATTGGCAAACATAAAATCTTCCTGACTTTCCTGTTGCAATGTTTCTTCAATATGCAATCTTCTGCCTTTTTGAGAGCTGATATCTTCAGGAGGCATTGTGTAACTTCCAATATCCAATAATAATTGAATTCCCGGGTCAACACGTCCTTGTGCACTTGACACGTCCGCGCTAACCTTGACCAACGCGTTGGGCGAATCTGGCCTACTTCGTGGCTGCACTCTATTCACGATTGTCTAGACCGTGCGCTATAATGTTAAGCCTTATGCATGTGTTGCGCAGTAATATTCACTACGCGTACGTACTCACCCATACGTGAATGCACTGCGCTACCTACATGTACATGTACACGTACGTGACGTGTACATGTACCGTACGGGGTTGGCGGCACTAGGATAGCACACGGTGGCTCTTTTGCCGTGGGCTGCGCCCGTGCTTCCGGCCCGATAACCTCCCGTCGAAACAAGGCTACGTGCGCGCTGAACGTACACACACTGGATATTGCGACTTGCCACAAAATTTTGCCATCTCTGTGCTTCCTTCTACAAATTGTGTGAAAGGCATTAGCCCAACTCCCTGTAAGGGCAGCGGGGATGAGTGGCATCTCAAAGGAGACCTCAACAGGGTTCCTGTAGAAATCTGTCAGCCAAATTCCAACTTCAACAGGACTTTCCGAGTCCAAAATAAGAATATTTCCATGACATTAAACATCATTTCGGAGAGAAATTGTTTGGTATTACCAAACTGTCGTAGCCATTACTGTATAGACTACCGAGGATAGCTTGCGAATTTATTATTTATAAAGGAGGCCTATCAAAAAGAACCCTTGCGTGATTTTGATTTCCGTAACTTTTTAATTACTGTTTTCCTCTGCCAAATTTTCCATGTCTTTTCTATGACTTTCCAGGACAACCTTTTGCCAGTTTTTCAGTGACCGTGAAAACTCTGGTGGTTCATTGGGTCATATTGTTACTTTTTATACTTCCTTGTTTTATTAAAAATTTAGATCAGATGAATAAAATCTGTTTTTTCTTTAAAACATACTGAAAGCTTGACGCTCGAGAAAAACAGTGCAAAAGGAAAACACGAATTCCATCAAAAACCTCGGTCTGTGTTATGTCCAAAAACATTCCTGCCACGAATTTTTCTATATAAAATGTACATCAGTTGCAATATTGATTCAACTTAATTTCCACGTGTCCGTCTCAGAAAACACACAAAATAATAAAAAGGCAAGGACAGGTCATTCGATAAAACATTAAAGAGAAGAGTTTCAAGTATGTTTTCAATGTTCTTCTATTAATGTTTAGCAATTTAAGCCCGACTGATTTGTTGAAATTGCTGAAAGAAAAAAATCAAACTCTTAATATGATTTTTAAATTATGATTTTCTGCCTTTAATTGCAGGATGCCGAATGCCTGGAGGTGTCAACTCCCCTAAAGAATTCTGGGATGCCTTGGTTCGGGGTGACGACATGATCAGCGAGGTTCCTCCGGACAGATGGTCTTTAGAATCATTCCATGATCCTGATCAATCCAACCATAGTAAGATGGTGACAAGACGATGTGGCTTCATCCATGACATCGACAAGTTTGACAACACTTTTTTCAAGATTTCACCTCGAGAGGCAAGCTCCATGGACCCCCAGCAGCGCCACATCCTCGAGGTCACCTACGAAGCATTTGAAGACGCGGGAATCATCCCAAACACTCTCCAAGAATCCTGTGGTGTGTACATCGGTGTTGGCATGATGGATTATCCCATTATGCTAATGGATACCTCACTCACAAACCCCTACACTCACACTGGTGTGGCTCACTCTGCGGTCGCAAACCGCATCTCTTACGCCTTCGACCTCCGAGGCCCCTCTTACGTCATAGACACTGCCTGCGCGTCATCTATGACTGCCATGCACAGTGCCTGTAATGCAATCTGGGATGGCGAGTGCACCATTGCTGTCGCAGGAGGCTGCAACAGTCTAATCATCCCTGAGGTTACTGTTGGTTTCAGCGCTTTGGGCGTCTTATCACCTGAGGGAAAGTGCTGTCCATTTTCTGATACCGCCAAGGGCTACGTAAGAAGTGAAGGATGGGGTGTCTTCATCCTTAAGCCACTTGACTTGGCACAAGCCGACCATGACCACATCTACTCTATCATCCGTGGTAGTGCCATTGCTGCAAATGGTTTCAGCAAGAGTCTTACTATGCCATCAGCACCAGCCCAAGAGATGGTGATGAAGAATGCCTATGAACGCTCAGGAGTGCCGCTGTCTTTTGTGAGGTACGTTGAGGCACATGGGACGGGCACACCTGTGGGCGATCCCATCGAAGCTGGTGCTATTGGACGAACCTTTGGCCACCAAAAAGACACTCCAATCAAAATAGGATCCGTGAAGAGCAACTTTGGCCACAATGAGTGCGCTGCTGGGATCACGGCTGCCATCAAAGTGGCTCTCATGTTAGAGAAGAATATGCTGGTGCCCACCATAAACTTTTCGAACGCCAACCCCAACATTGACCTACAACAACTCAACCTTCAAGTCCAGACAAAACTGGAGCCGCTGGACACAAAGCCAGATGACGACTACACTGTGGGCCTCAACAGCTTCGGCTTCGCCGGAGCAGTTGCTCACATGATCTTCCAGAAGAGACCAAAAGCAAGACAGGTAACACTGAGAGAATCAGTGGGCTGGAAGTTTGGTGATGACAAAGTTGGTAGGCCAATTATCCTGCCACTTTCTGCAAAATCAGGAGAAGCTCTGAAGGATCTTGCAAAGAAGTGGCTGGAATTTGAATCTGACAACGATGCCCTCAGCGTGACATCATGGCAGGCAACACGCAGAGAACATCATTCTTACCGGATGGCTGTCATCGCTGACTCTGCTACATCTTGCAGACAGAGCCTAGAGGGGTTTCTTGAAGGTGCTGGATCTGAATCTGTAGTTACTGGCACAGCTTCTCAAGAAAAACCAAAGGTCTGTTTCGTTTTCCCTGGCCAAGGTCAGCAGTGGGAGGATATGGGCCGGAAACTATACATAGCTGAGAGCGTGTTCCGGGACACTGTTAACACCTGTGACAAAATCTTCAAGAAGATGTCTGGGTGGTCTCTACTGGAATGTTGTGGATTGTTCAACAGCCATTCTATTAATCTCGACGATTCACCGTACACGTCGGTAGAAAATGCCCTCAATCAAGTCGAAGTCATCCAACCTGCCATCATGTTCATTCAGGTGGCACTCTTCCATCTCTGGCGACATTGGGGAGTGCGACCTGATGTTGTGGTAGGACACAGCCTCGGCGAGATCTCTGCAGCTTACGCCAGTGGTGGACTGACCCTAGAGGAAGCTGTAGCCGTCATTTATCACAGAAGCCACGAGCAAGCCAAGCAAGAGGGCACTGGTAGAATGGCTGCCCTACGAGCCACAAGGGAACAAGCAGAGAAGATCTGTCAAGAACACCAGAATCTCTACATAGCAGCAGTCAATGCACCTGGCGCAATTACTCTCGCTGGCAACCGAGATGTCATTGCCAGTGTAGTTGAACAAAATCCTGGAAAGGCTAAGCAACTCCGAGTAACTTGTGCCTTTCATACTCCAGAGATGGATCCAATCAAGGAGCCATTCACTAAGGCCATGGAAGGTGTTGTCAAGAGTGAACCCGGCCATAGAGATGTTCCTTACTACTCCACTGTGACAGGTGAATACTATGATGGAAGTTTTGGCACTGATTACTGGTGGAAAAACATCCGAGGTGCTGTACTCTTCCAGCCTGCCATAGAAGCTGTTCTGCAGGAGACAAGGGCCAATGTCTTCCTTGAAATTGCTGCCTCAAATACACTGCTGTCTTCTGTGAAACAGATCGCACGTGGTTTGGATCCCAAGCACCCTCCTGTTACTATCAACTCCAGCCTGCGGAGCAAAGACGATCTGAAAAGTATCCAGAGAGCAGTGGGAACCCTGTATGCAAATGGGACTGAATTAGACTGGGCCGCAGTAACTCATGAATCGGCTGAGTGGACGCCGGTACCTACATATCCATGGCAACACCAGTCTTTTTGGTTGGAGACAGAGGAGAGACAGAAGCGTCGCCTTGGTTTGGATGACCGCACATTCAAAGGGCAAAATGGCAACCTCACATTGGAGATGTTCCCCTTCTTTGCTGATCACGTGATAGGCAACCGCATTGTCTTCCCTGGTGCTGGCTACATGGAGTACATGGCACAGATGGCTTTCGAGGAGACTGAAAAACCAGCTCTCAAAAACATCAATTTCACCCGTGTCCTGCCTTGGCCTGAAGACACAGACTCCAAGAAATGCACCGTGAAGCTTGGGCTGGTGAAAGATGGAGCAGGGCTGCAAGTCACCTGTGAAGGCAACCCGCACAGCAATGCTAAGATAGATGTCTCCAGGAAAACGGATGTGGAAGAAAGTCTTCCTCTTGAGAAGATAACAGAACGGTGCTCAACTGAGGTAACAAGTGAGGACTTTTACGCCAGGCTCCAAGACGTGGGTCTTTCCTATGGGCCTGCCTTCCAGATGGTGAATAAGATGTTTCTTGGTGATGGTGAGGCACTTGCCGTACTGCATGCTGCTCCTGACAACAAACAGAGAATCCAAGTGGCTCATCTGGACGCAACTTTCCAACTCGCTTTGTCTGCCATGGGCTCAAACAGCGGCATGTACCTTCCTGTACACATCGACTCCCTTGAGATGTCCAGAGAGGCCATTCCATCTGGAGAACCCATTCTTGCCTACACCAGAATCATCGACTGCGACAGTATGATCCTCACAGCAGATATCACCATGGCTACTGAACAAGGTAAACTCTTAGCAACATTGAAGGGGTTCCAGGCACAGAACTTCAATGGAAATCACTCAGATGTTCCAATTGAATCTTGCATCTACACTACCCAGTGGCAACCAGCCTCAGCAAAGACTCTGCCAACGTCAATCGTCAAAGACGTTTTTGAAGAGAGCAATCTTCGTCAGACATATGGGGATGAGATGGATGCCATTGATCGAGCAGAAGATGTTCTTGATGATGTTGAGGGCGTCTGCGTCTCTTACATCCGACACGCCCTTGATACAGTGCCACCTAAGGAAAGGGCACAGGGTAAGAGCTACACTAAGTACATCAATCGGTTTAAAACCATTGCCAAGAATGCAAGCAGCAAAGTCGTTGGGTATCAAGAAATTCCTGCAGTCTTGGAGAAGATTATCCAGCACGTTCCTGAGCTGGACTCAGAGGTGAACTTGATCAAGAGTCTCGGTGAAGCCTTGCCTGACACTCTTCGTGACCCGCAGGTTGCCGTTCCCCTCATGTTTTGTCCTGAGGGGCTGGACCGTTACTTCTATGACTCACTCAGCACAAGAATCTACTACAAAGCTGGAGCTGAAGCAGTAGTCAGGGCTGTTCGAGAAGCTGCCAAGCACAAAAAGGTAGTCCGTGTCCTGGAGCTTGGGGCTCGGATTGGAGGTTTGACTCGCTTCATTGTTGATCCACTGAAGGATTTGGGAACTGAAAAGAAAATGGAGTATGTCTTCACTGATGTGAGTGCCACCTTCTTCCAGCAAGCCCAGGGGAACCTCCAGGAGTTTCCCTTCATCCAGTACAAACAGCTAGACATTGAAAAAGACATCAGAGACCAAGCGTTTGTTCCTGGCAGCTTCGATGTTGTAATATGTCTCGATACCCTGCACGCAGCTGTTGATGTTCAAAGAAGTACAGCCTTCATGACAAACCTACTCAGTACAGATGGGTTGATGTTTATTATAGAGGGAACCAACACACACTACCTGACTGAACTGTGGTTTGGGGCTCTTGATGTATGTTGGGTCTTTGATGATTTTCGTAAGGAGCGATGCTGGCTGAATCACCAAGGCTGGTTGGTAACCATGGAGAAAGTTGGTCTCAGAGAAATCTCATCAGCATCCTCGCCAAACGAATTCTTCCATTCTGTGTTTGTGGGAAGAAAGCCTTCCGTTACTGAACAAAATCACCGAAGATACATCCATCAAGAGGGGCTACTCATAATTCGCGATGGCAACAACAGATTCTCATCAGAATTTCTTCCTCACTTTCATGGCGAGGTCCAGATCAGCAACTTCTCTGAGGCAAAATCTCTGGATCGTACATTCAGCGAGCACGAAGACAGCCCAATGGAGGTGATGTACATCTACAGCGAAGAAGACGCCGAGCTCCATGCTCTCTTGAAACTTTTCCAGGCAGTGGAGTCGTACCCCGACGCTGTGAAGAAAATTTGGGTGGTGACCAAGGGAGGTAATATGGACTCCTCTCGTGTAAATGGATCTCTGGCTGTTGGCCTAACCAGGGCTGTCAGCAATCAGATTCCAGGTGTGTCAATTTTCTCAGTGGATTTTGACCCACAAAGTTCTCTTCCAGAAAATGTCCAAGAGATGCTGAAGCTGATGAATGATCCTAATCTCGGGGAAAGAGAGCTTGTGATCCGTAAGAAGGAACGGCTTGTTCCACGAGTAATGCATCAAGATCTGAACACAAGCAACAAGATCCAGTCCACGAGATGGCGTGTGGAGCAGGATTTACGAGGTCAAGTAGGTAAAGGTGCTTCCATCGATGATCTTAATTTTCACAATGTCTGTGATTTTGAAGTCCCACCAGGCCACATGAAAATTAGAGTCAAGGCAGCTCCTCTCAACTTCAAAGATGTCATGATGGCACTTGGTCTTCTTGAAGGATTAGAAAGTGAGGCACACCCATCCTTTGGTCTGGAGTGTGCTGGAGTTGTAGAAGAAGTTGCACCTGGGGCACAGGGTTTGAAAGTTGGTGATGAAGTCATAGCATTTGGGAAAAGCTGTTTTGGTTCTCATGCCATCTGTGATGCCAGACTGACTGTCTTGAAACCGGAAAATCTCAGCTTCGTAGACAGTTCCAGTATGGGTGTGGTGTTTGTGACTGCCTATCTTTGCCTCGTCGAGCGAGCCAATCTGCAGAGGGATGAGACCGTCTTGATTCATTCAGCCTGTGGTGGAGTTGGTCTAGCAGCTATCCAGATTGCTAAAATGATAGGTGCCCGGATTATCTGCACAGCTGGTACAGAGGAGAAGAGGGCCTACCTACAGAAGGAGCTTGGTGTCGACATGGTTAGTGACTCAAGGTCATCTCAATTTTATGATGACGTCATGAAATGGACCAATGATGAGGGAGTGGACGTGGTCTTAAACTCTCTGTCTGGCAAGCTGCTTCAAACAGGTATATCCCTGCTTGGTCCAGGTGGAAGGTTCTGTGAGATCGGTAAGAGGGACATTCTGCAGAGTTCCAACCTCCCCATGGGATTCTTCCTGGAGAACAAGGTCTTTCATTCCTGCCAAGTAGATGTCTTAATGAAGCAGCGTCCAGCAACAGTTCAGAAAATCATGCGGAAGGTTGTCTGCCTGTTTGAGAACGAGAAGCTGAAGCCCATTCCAGTCACAGTCCATCCCATCATGGAACTTAAGGAAACATTCCGGGTGATGTCTAAGGGCTCTCACATTGGCAAGATCGCCTTTGAAGTACCTGAAGATTTCCAGCCACCAGAATTACAGCCCTCACTGCACCTGTTCAGGTCCAGTGCCACCTACATTATCACTGGTGGGTTTGGTGGCATTGGGCAAGCTCTCTCCAGATGGCTTTGTCAGAATGGTGCCAAGAGCATTGTTCTTGTCTCGCGAAGGGGGGCTCAGACAGCAGCTGCGAGGAGGACAGTGAACTACCTGAAGCGCAACAAAGTTAACCTTTACGAGTTCTCTCTTGATATTTCAAGCAAAAAGAGCGTTGCGTCAATGTTGGAGAAGCTGCGAGATAACAAGAGAGTCCCTAAAGTCAGAGGTATCTTCCACCTGGCAGGTGTCATTGAAGAGGAAAATCTGTCACAGATAACATTTGACCAGTTGTCCCGCATTCTGGGTGCCAAGGCAAAGGGAGCCAGAATCCTCCATGAGCTGACTCAAGAGGACCAACTTGACATCTTCTTCATGCTGTCTTCGATTTCCACTACCTGGGGACATCAAGCACAGCCCGTCTATTGCGCCGCTAACGCCTACCTTGACGCCTTGGCTGAGAAGCGACACAGCAACGGCTTACCTGCACTCTCAGTGCAGCTGGCACCCGTCAGAGGAGCTGGGTACCTGGAGGACAAGGGACAGACAGTTAAGGTGCTAGCCATGAAGGGAAACCACCAGCTCTATGTTGATGAGTTCCTTGCAGTGCTGAGTCATCTTCTGCCACACAGGGATCTGCCGTGTGTCTGCCTTGCAAACCAGGTGAGTCCTTCATAACATAAGCTTTTCATTTTTTTTAACAGCTATTTGGGTTCAGCGACAATATGAGACAAAAAAAAATAAACCATGTGTGATAAAAAAACAAAAATGCTCAATTTCAATCGATGAAAATTAAGTTTCATTAAAACCTTAAACGAATATTTCAAGAAATAAAAAGGATTTTACATCCTTGAACTCTTCAGCTTAATTATCTTGCCTTTCTGCAAAGAACTTGCAAAAATTTAGAACTCCTCTTAATTTCTCAGAAAAGCAGCAGAAATAAAAAAAAACCTTCCTATAGGAAGCATCTGACATTATGCGATTGTTCCTTTTAGATATTGTGCATGTTATGCATTATTTGCGATTTTGCATCACAAAATACACCTGAACACACTGCCTGAATATGCATTAAACCCGTTGCTTCTTTATCAGGCAAATATTTGAACACACTATACAAAGTTCCCCATGACGCACGTATTAAATTTACTTAATGTTATCTTCAACTTCATTTATCCGCCTTCAGGACTGGGGAGCAACACAGCAATTCTGCCACAAGAACATGCTGAAATTCCACCACTTGGCGGCACACAATTCCAAATCATCCGGTGGGGAGGCTCGTTGCCTTGACGCCGCAGACCTGGAAGCCAGTGTAAAATCCAAGATGGCAGAACTTCTCTGCATGCCTGAAGAATCCATTGACGTCACTCAGCCCATGGTGAACTATGGCGTGGACTCTCTGGTTGCTTTGGAAATGGTAAACTGGGCGACCAATCAGCTGGGAGTTACCATTTCCCAATTGGACATCTTGGGTGGTATAACTACAGCCGCTCTATTGGAGAAGGCTGTGGAGGCAAACTAAATCCGCAAAAGACAAAAACAAAGGCTTAACGCAGGAAATGGATCAAGAAACTGCCGATTGCATATTCTTTCGCGTCGTGTCTTTTGTGACGTATTTTATTATTTATAGAACGTGTAATATAAATCACAAATTTATTGGAAACGATTTTTAGAATTTATCTTCTGGAATTTAACTTGTTTAGAAGCAAACACTTTGTTTTCAAAAGAGGAGTTTTCACAAGAATTGAATATTTTCACAAACTCGACTCACTTTTTGACAGCATAACTTGTAAGAAGTGGTTGAAAACTGATGTTTGAGTTGAAATTCTGCGATATTTATACACCGTGTTGAAACACAAATTGAACTGTGTGGTTGTTTTAATGTTTTTGTTGTGTTGTGCCAAACTGAGACCAGTTACTCGTGTGAAAAGATGTGTTTTTTAAACTATGCTTAAACTAATAACTATTTGTTTATACAGGAGTATTTAAATGATGTTTTTATGTACTGCAAGAGAGAAAGGTTAAATGCAAAGAGCTTACAGTAAACATGTACATGATTGACAGCAGATAAAAACTGCATTATAGAAGATGCACAAATATGACAAAAGAAGCCAACTCAAATAAAATCTGTCATTTTCATCCTTTAAAGCTCTATGTAACTGTATGGGACGCGGTCTTTCATAGGGAGCCCTACCAAAAATTGAATTTGCTAACGACTAGAACAGGTTTCAGCGTTACTGTTTAAAAAAGGACACCTAACAAATCTTGGCAACAATAGGGAATCTGCCTTGAAATATTTCTCAAACCGTTTTACACAATATGACATTTCTCTTGGTATTTTATACTAACACTGTACTGAGTAACAACCAAAGTAACAACACTTCCTTTCATGAGAAGATAGAGGAGATTGAAAGTTAGAAATATGTTTGAAATTTTAAAACTACTCTGTTATTTCTTTAATTGTATTTATATTTACAGCATTTTGGATAGCGCATTAAAAAAGGGTTTGCTGTGTAGTGTAGAAATCTAAACTAATGGTGCGCTTTATTCACAAAATGAATATTGACCTCGGAGGGCTAAGAGGCTCTCCTAAGGCTGAATATGGAGAATCCCGCTTGTGATTAAGGCCGAGTGGCCACTTGCCCGTTACGTGTTAAACATGAGCTTGTTGGGTACTTCATCAAGGCAAGGTCTTTCGGGAACAAAGCACCTGCGTACAAGTGCTCATCGGATCGGCACACTGCTGATACAACAGTGTGCAAAACAGTCTCGCACGGGCTTCAGTTTGGGCAAGCGCTGGTTGGAATGCCAAGCTTATAATTACAGTGGCCTATTGTGAATGCTACGCCATTTGAACGAATGGAAACACACACAGCGATCACAGGGTTATTATAGGCGGTGAGAGAAATGCATGTTGGGCAGGTTTTCCAATGGGAAATGGTGCGAGGACCACTTTCTTGCTCTTTACGCACACAGTTCAGAGAGCGGGCATGTAGACGTCTATACTGCAGTGTAGACTCATTTTTATGAATTCAAATGTCAGGAAACTTAATATTCATGAACAAAACTTGCAGTGGCTACACTTGTGATTTTAATAACTATCCATATGATTTCAAGTCGGGGTTGTTGGTTTTCAGTTTCGATTAGCCGAGAACACTCACTCAAGCTTCTTGACAGTTCGTGTGGTGTGGCGCATTGGTGCTTGTAATAAAGCTGATGCGGCTTTGTAAATTTCTGACTGAAATATTTTACTGTATTTTGTCAAAAGCCTGGCCCCATGCTCTAAGCGAGAATAATGCAAAATCACTTCTATGAAAATGTAAGGTACAATACACGAAACGTTTGCACACCTGTATCAAATATGATAATGTATATAAAATTTTCCAGAAGCCTGACATCGTAGAGAACTTTTTTCCTGAATATATTAAGTGACTTTGATACATTTTGCAGGATTCTTAACTTCGTGCTGAACGTCCAGTTTTTTCACAATAAACGTTTTTGGACTCGCCGGACTGCTGTTTCTAACAATCAGGCGTAAAGTAGTTCACAAATAGAAAAGATACAAAGTTGAAGAGCACGTGATTTGTAGATCGGTCATGAGACATTCCTACTGACCTGGCACGTACACGTACCCGTGTCCTCTTGGAAAGGACCCGTGACACCCAAATTACGGAACGCAGTAACGAATGCGGCTGTAGTGTGCGTGCAGCAAAGCAAAATTCCGTCGCGAGTGTGCTTGCTTCGGCAGACAAAACTCTGTGCTCGTGTGAGTTAAAAATATGAAAGTGAATATAAAGAACGAACATTATAGGAATCAAAATCCCCTGTAATGGCACCAGTTTTTTTATAGTTTCTGCCTGCCAATTTTGGAAAATGTGCTATTTAATTAGTCAAATAAAAATTCGATTCAGGGTTGATTTTGAAAACGACTTAACACTTGGTTTCATTTTCGCAATGACAAGCATTCGACTTCGTATCGTGGTTATCGATAACCGATTCACAGGTTAAATATTTGTCTCTATCCAGTGCCAGGAGTCGACCACAGCCCCTGTGCGGTTCGATATCCGGGGACCAATAATTCCAATTTTGGTCCATAAAGAAGGACTCTACAAAAAAACAACGTACAGTCGCGAAACCTTTATAACAAGGTCATTGTTTGAGAATAAAATTCTGTGGAAGAAATAGAAAATACAAGGACTTCGGGACCCAAAGTTTCTCAATTCAAAACCAGGATGTTGCATTTATAATACTCTTATTATTGGCGTTCGACTGTAGGTGTAGGTCGACTTCATTTCAACGGGCAAACCCTGACCCGGCGTGCGGTTCTCGGGACGGACGCAACTTGATGGGCAAACAATTCACTTCACAAACAGTGCAGTGAATGCCGGGGGCTGTTTTTGATTCTGGGGAACGCGGACTTTAACTTTCGTAAGGGCAATATTTCTCCACAAGTATGACGTCAACACTAACGCCATTCGGTGGGACGAGTTAAATACGCAGTACATTTCTTTTCATGGGCTCGCTTTTATTAAAAAAAAAACAAACAAAGAACACAAAAAAGGTGGGACGTTGGTTTGAGATCCTGGTCTATTGTCCGTGCCCTCTTGTCCATTAGTTCAGGGCTAGAGCCGGATAGGGTGTGACCTGGCTCACTTTTCGAATCACAGAAGTTCACATCGTCCCACTGTTGTTATCGCTGAGCCATGCAGAGTTTGGTTAAGGGACTACTTTTATACGAATTTCAGGAATAACATTATTGTAACAAAATCCACTCAAAGGAAACTCCACATTTCGGCGAATTCGCACTGAGTTTAGATAGGACCATCCTTTGTTTTGTGCTTCGGAAGTTCGTTAAGCAATGCAGGTTTCTAATTAATGAGCATAATATAGTCAGTGTGGTTTTGGTAATTTTAGGAGTGTGGTCCCTACATCCGGCTGGGAGCCGACGGACAGGGTCACCAGTGTAGTAAGTTTGACCACCACCATGATGAGATTGTAACATCATCGTCAACCAATCACAGCGAATATGATCACGTGTTCTCGGTAAATTGCCCGTTCTAATTGGTTACGTCGCGTTGTGTTAGGGCCTCTGGCATTCGTGAGACTTTATAAGAAATGTGAAAAGTGCCAAAAAGCACAGAAAATGCAACATTTTACCGTGGGAAAGCTAACACCGTTCTGAATGTTTCATTCTCGCCATAACAATCATAAAGAGCGTGGAGTTAATCGTCTGCTGGTTCCTGACAATTCAATTCTTCACAAGTTATAAAGGTAAAGTGAACTTTATATTTTCCTACATCTACTTTTCTAAAAACTGTAAATTTTTGGAAGACTATCCGTCATAATTGAGTTAGAAGCCTCTGAGCGGGACTACAAAAGTTCCACCCTAATTTCCTAAAATAACATCATCTCCATCTTGAGACAGTGTACCATGACGGAACGGCAATTTGGAATAATCGACAAAACACGCTAGATTCTAGCCCGCTCGTTTTGAATGAAAACCAAGGAATAGGATTTCAAGGCTTGTTCAAAGTCAAATTTAAACTGCTGAGGTTTAAACAAAATTCGAGTCTGTATGCCCAATGAAGAAGTCAGATATCCACGAGGAATGACTGCTCCAGAAGACCATTGTTTTCTGCAAGGATTGATTAATAATAATAATAATCCGCATTACTTTCAATTTCTAAGATTTGAAACTGATGGATCGGGCACATGTTCGATAACATTTACCATTTGTTTCAATGAAATGTGGTACATAAATCTACGAAAATGATGCCGGCAAGATAAAATGTGATTTGAAAAAAATCGTATCAGTCAAAATTGTTGGGGCGGATATCGAAAACAATTTATTTACAGCCGATAAGACAGACTCAAAAATGAATGTAAGAATGTGGAGAGTTTCTACCCCTTTCATGGCCGCTATTCCTTAACTAACGTCTGGAATTTCCTTACAGAGATAAAATGAACAAGTTGAAATGTGACTTCAACTTTTTCATTTTTGTTTGAAGTCAATTTTTTGGTGCTTTTACCTGTGTGTAGTATGTACATGTATTTTGTAACCATGTGGCCAGTTTATGCACCCTGTGCAAGTCAGTTTTCTTTGTTTATGGACTCCCATATGCTTGTGCACATGTTTCAGCAGGAGGCTTAGGTAATTGCAGGGATTAAGGATTAGTGTGGCCTGCCTTCTTGGAAGTGGCCAGACCTTTTGTTTATTACCTCATTGATATTCACGAGTTTTGGCAGGTCTCAGCCTTACTGCACATGTTTGTTACTGAAGCTAGAAAAGTTTATGATGCAGATTGAGCAACTGTGGATGTGCAGAGTAGTACTTTGTGCATTGGATAATTTCTTTGTCGTCAACTTGTATTTATATGGTTTTTATTACTTTTCCTTTGACTTACAGGTAGTTAACGCTTGAGTTGAATTGATCTGTAACTTTTCTTAGGTGCTGTGTTGGTTTTTGTTGGTTCTTGGTTTTTTCTTTTCAGTTTGGGTTGGTCTTGTTTTAGACTGGTTAAGCCTTACCTTGATTCTGTTGCGGATTTACTTTGGTCTAGGATTGGTCTAATTTCTAAATTTAATTTTGGTCTTGGTCATATTTCTCCTACATTTTAGGTTTGGTTTCTACAATTCTCTGATTTTCGACCTAGTCTTTTTTTTTTTAGTTCTCCCGTTGCATTCCTTTTTGGGGGGATATTTTTTAGAAGAAATAAAAGATTTTGTTCTTGGAATCAAGTTTCAGCTTCCGTATCCCTATTCTTTTAGACTTCATGCAACTCCTCCCTTTTGATCCTTTTGAAAGTTTTTTTTGCGAGTTCCCCAAGTGTTTTATTTTCTTCAAGTCTCTTCTTTATTTTTTTTATTCTCATCTGAAGTGTGCCATTTTTCCCGTTACACATTCAAAGCGTAAAATCCACTTTTATGTGTGGATAATTTGCATAGAAGAAATTGGTATGCCATCACCGTTTGATAGCAGCCAGGCGAGCGAAATTAACGTTCTCTTTTTGGGTATTATGATAGGAGATTATTCTAAGCAAGCTACGTTACAAGTTGACGGTGACTACATTGTATTAACGACCCATTGTTAACAATGGAATAACAGTGACATTATTGTGATGAGAAAGGCCAGTTTAGACTCAGTGTGTCACACATGGGCGAGAAGTTTAAGGAATCAGGTTTTTCATCTTCACAAACTATCCCCCGGCACAATAAAGCACCTCAAGCACGCCTTCTTTTCGTTGACACAACCAATAATGATTTCACCAGTTGTAACGGTTTTTAATTCGGTTTTTGTGCGGGACCTCAAGTATACGGATGGAAAATTCGAGTGGACTGTTCAAAGTCCCCGAAACATGCTTGGGTGTCAGTGTACGATGTGCGCGCGGTATTACCAACTGTTTCTATATAATTTAATCGTGAAACTTAAGCTGTCGGTAACACAATTTTCACGAACTAGGCCCATATACACGCGTGTGTGTTAGTTCGTTGTGTCGCTGACATCATGTTGGCAATCCGAAGATACACTAAATGTATACGAGGTGGATTCCTTCAAATGGGGCCAAAACATTCAGTGTACCTCAATATTATGCAGACTCCATAAAGACTAATGA